GACGTGCATGAAAGGGAGTAAAAAAGAGTAAAAATAATAAATAATCGTAAAAAAAAAAATGTATGTATATATATATATATATTTATCGGATAAAGCGGAAACGTGTCTAACAACAGAAATCCCGATTTAAGCGGGTTTATCACGTACGCTGGCGACGGAGGTCGATGAAAAAGTCTCATAGTAGGCGGAACGTGCTTTTTACGTGACAATATCTCGTATCTCGTCGTCATCGGATTTTACGCTCGTACAGCCAGCGGCCGGCGGTGGCACGTGTAACGACGGGGTAAGTCAATTAACTGCAATGTCCGTCACATAAGTCGATTATAAAGTTGAATTAATAATAGTGTGACCGAACCACAGACTTAACCATCGCCAGTACCTGAAAGTCTCTTGGTCGTTGCCGAGCAATCGTATCGAAACGTTAAACACGGTAAGGTTAAAATATTTCCGAGCGCACATCACACACGTCATATTAACGATATTAATAGTATTACAATTAACGAGTCAAATCTCAAACGGTCCGACTCGACAACGATTCATTAATACAATTCGATTAGGTCAGATAAAGCGATCGAAGCGTCGTTGCCTAGTCCATGCAATATTTTCTCATAACAATAAATGTATAAATAGGTACTCGGTGTCTTGTACTATAAATTCCACGCATCGAATAATTTAAATGGAATTTTTTTGGGAATTTTTCATTGATTTGTAGATTCAGAAATATGTATGAACATAGCGATTATAAATGTCATTATTTCTATCGTCTCATCGACCCACAATGTCCGAAAATCAAACCAAAGAGGCCACAAATTAATTTTTTTTTTTATATATTATTGGATTTTGTTCTATTCTAGTTGAGCTATAGCTTCATGTATGCATTTTTAAGTTTTGTATATTTTTTTTTCAGTTTTATTAAATTCCAATGTATATTGTGTAATTATGTTCATACAAATTATAACATATTTTCTTATATTTTAATAACCTACAAGTTTTACGAGATAAGAAGTTACTATCAACAACCCATCTGAACAGCAATCATAATTTAATGTACTTGTACAAATATGTTAAATTTTTATTTAAACTTTTTTTATTATTAAAATAATCATGTACATAATCGGTTTAAATTAAAATTAATGACCTTCTCAAATCTCCCAACCCTATTTCAAGGCAGGAATCAAACAAATAATATTAAATTTGAATAAAAGGGCTTAAAAAACATGTAGTCAATTTTTTTTTAATGTTATAAAATACATTTAATAATTTTCATTATTAATTTTGAACGGGTTTATTTAATTAGAAACACTGTTTAACAAGATTGTCAGAAAAATGACAATCTTGAATAGGTTGGTGTATAGAAAGCTAGAGCTTGTACGACGGTATGAACGAAGATCGATTTAAGGAATTATAAAGATGCTCTCGTTCCTCTCGTATTTGAGTTCGCTCATTTTATACTAGTAACATTTTAATCTGCTCGTAGTATGACGTGTCAAGTTCCTCGTAGACTGATTAAATACGGTACAAACTCTATCATAGTTCGACGGGCGACCAAACCAAACATGGTTTCAAAAACCGTCATGTACACTGAATATTTTTAAATTTAAATTTGTATAAGTAATTAATTATAACTATTAAAAAAATATATATACATATATATATATATGTATACACAGAGTGTAACAGGATTATTAGACATTTTTACATTATAGTTACCCTGTATACATCAAAAATATTTGTCTCTCTCTCTATATTAATACTCGTTACCCTTAGTATTTGTCTCACCACTTATAAATGTTAAGAGCCATCCCACTAGATAAGACGCAATAAAAGTTTCACAGCCGGGTAAATAATTATATTATCAACTGACCGCCGGCGTTAGTTTAATGACAAGCAGCCATCATCGCTCGAGATCGATGCCTTTACTAATGTTTTTATTAAGAAAGTCAGAATGTGATCGTTTTATATTTTATTACCTACTTGATTTAATTCGAATTCCGCGAATTGATTTCAAAATATTTAATTTTAATTGTATATTTTTGTATAATTTTTCGGTGTACTGGTGCATACGCATGCCTATACTTTATGGCTTTATTATTGGGAATTTTGTTTGTTATATTAAAAATAGCAATTATTTTTTAGTATACGAAGACTAGAAAAATTGTGGCTATGTAACTAGGACCTTTCGTTAGGGAGTGATAAAAATAGTTATTAAACAATTATAAATAATAAATACCATGTCACACAATTTTATTGACATTTAACTTTAATAATGAACGAACAAATATTGACAGTGCAGCATGTTTCAAACTTGATATTTTGCATTTTGTATTTTATGTCATAGCTGACAACTTGTTGCAAAAAAAATAATGTCTGGATTCTAAAACTTCTTGGAGTGAGAAGCATCACAAACACGAGAACGCTACTGCATGGCTGACAGCATAATTGTATTAACAAAAACAAATAACCATTGTTTGCAAATTAATCTAATCTTGTTGAATTACCATGTGATTAGATTATTAGATGATAGCCAATAAACTTTTTCGTGATATTTTCTTCAAAATTAACTTACACATCTAGTGATTCATCGCCTTTTTTTATTTTGGCGACATTAATAATTTAAGCATTTTATCGACAAAATCATAAGAAAATGATCAAATACTCACATACCCACAATCAATACCCACATCGGTTCGTGTCACTGCAGGAAATATCATTTATTTTTTAAAATTACGCAACCTTTTTTTTAAAAAAAATTCAAGTTTTGGAAGTTGGAACAAATTCTAATCTTTTGATTTTTCGGAAAAAACACTGAGTACGTATTTACTGTGATATAACATACATATTATGTTTCCTCATTTATTTCAAAAATTCCCATTTATAAATACAAAAAACTATTAAAATCGAAATAATAATTTTTCGAAAAAAAAAAATGATTGTTCTTACCCGTACATAATATATTACGCATATTTTTTTACCGCGGATAATATTTTAGTTTGTAGGGGTTCTTTTTTCGTACTGCATACGGACGCTGTATGTTATATTTCATTATTGCTCTTCAGTCTCTGGCGCATCAGAGTTTTCCGTGCACTGCGGATTAATAACAATAATACTACTACCACTACTAGTACGCGAGTGCCTACGTCTGTCTAAACGGATCGCATTGATTGATTGGCAGGCGACCAAGAGTTCTCGCGCGGGAGATTCGCCTCTGGTGAACAGGGACCCAAAGAATCTGACGGCGCCCCGCTCGGCTGCGCGAAGACGCGGGAGAATAATATTATAAGAATCGGACGGGTCATCATTTAAGTCGATTATTATGACGGATTGTATTGGTGGCGGAAGCGGCTGCGTCGGCAGTGTTACCATCGATCACGCGTATATTCCCTCACCCTTCCCGCACTGCGTGCCGCCGCTGCGACCGTCACCGTCGTCACCGCCACCACGGGCGTTCGGCGACGATAATGAATTAAAAACAGAAGGAAACTGTTTTGGCCGTTAATCACCGACACCGTCGCCGCTGCCACTGTATTTTGTGAATTCACATAATATGTCGTCGTCGTCGTCGTCGTCGTTGTCGTCGAAATCGCACCCCCGCGAGACGTTAAACGAATAAATATTCGTCGGCCTCTGAACCCCGCTCGTTCCGTGGCGACAATTACGTTGAATTTTTAACGTATTTCGTTCTCGGCAAACACTGCACGCGCATGCATTCATACGACAGCGTCGCACTTGACGTCAATGACAACACAATTCCGCCACATATTCGTTTTTATTTACGGGTTTTTCACCCCCCTCTCGCCCCAGAAGAGCAAAAACTCTGCTTACGCACCCACGATGCCGGTCTCGCGTCATTTCACTCTTAAAAAACAATACAGAACCAAAACCAAATTAATAATAATAGGAACCTTACGTTCAATTTGTCTTCCTTGTAAATTAATTCAAGACGTTTTTTAGTAGCCTAAATAAAAGCTATGCAAATATTCTTTTTATACAATTTAATTGATTATTATACATTAATGATATTTTTAAAAGGTACAACACTTAGTGAGTTACAATAACATAAATATAAAAAAAAAAGTATCACTCAAAAGTACACCGTCAGTGCGGTACATCAAATAAATTGCGCAAATTGATATTTATACCTCAACTTGGACGCTACATTTTTCCAGGGCTAAATGTGGATTAAAATGTGGATAAAATTTACATTATTAACATTCCTTCCATAGTGTCTATGTGTCAGAGACACATATGTTTTTTAAGGGAAAATATGTCAGGCAACACGTACATTAAGTATATTATTACTATCTAGGATTTTTTAATGGAAAAAGCTTAGCTTCAGGCAAGTTAAGCTTAGTACAAAACGCACATATATTATACTATAAGTAACTATGGCGTAATTTTTTCTATGTCAATTCTATAAGAATTCAGATAGGTATATCGTGCAATGTAGTATACATTTATTAGGATTCTGCTATAAATAAATACATATCCGAGTTTATAACACTATACAAATATTTTAATTATTACAATTTCAAATTTCAGTTACAAAAAATAACATTTAATTATAAACACTTTGGGCAACTCAGATACCAGGCATTTGCTCGGTTACCCAACAGGCCACTTCGAGTTATTTAAAGTTACTTTTTAAAGTCTTAATTTTAAACACGCCCACATACGATTATATACACTCGAGTATAGAGCCCGATGATATTTGTACGATATAGCCCAAAACTCCTGTTCGGGCTATCATACCACGGTACAGGCAGCTGTTCCTCTGTACTTTAAGTTCTGGTTTCCGAGATTTGGGGTTCGGGCGCGTGTATTATTGCTGTAAGCCACCGGTCCACACAAATAAAAAAAAAATTTTAATTGATAACCATAAAATTAAAAACATGATTTGATATTAGTAGTTTAATTTTTATAAACAAAATTCTATGAGTAGATCAATTATCGAACAAAACCTTAAATTAATTTAAAGAAAAAAATAATACAGAATGATCCAATTATGGTAAAAATTTTTCATTTTCTGGAATTCTTTTAACGAATTGTTGACTTATATCCTTGAAGACCATGCCCAAAACCTCTTCGATTGCAGGCTGTAATTCATTCAAGATATCACGCCAATTTTCGTTTAGGAAAACGTTCATATTGTCACCTGTAATTAAAACAATGAGATAATATTTTTAACAGTCAAATATTAAATTGATAAATCATTTCTAGATTAAAAATTAAATTAAATTATTTTCGCCAGAAAATAACTACTTGTTGGAAATTAATTTAACAACTATAATTGTATTTACTCTTATCTGGTATTTATATATCTTATAATAACTAACCTAAAGCTTTATCTCCGTTAAATAGTCTATCAAATTGCATATGCAAATTTGTAGCAACAAATTTTAATGTTAAATTTTTGGTATCCAAGAATGTGTTTCCATTTTTTACCACTGGTTTGAATTGAACATTAAAGACAGCATTTGAAATATCTAAAACAACGTAAAAATATAGGTATTATATAGCAGTTCATTTATTTTTAGTTCAATTTATCCATTTTAATAGACTGAATATTTAAATTACCAATAGCAAGTTTACATTTACCCTTTCCTTTGACTGGACCAACAAGCACATTACCATTTACTTCATAGTTATCTCCAATAATAAAGTTTCCGGAAATAATACATCGATTTTAGCATTATAGTTTTCAGGATCATACCTGTAGGAGATTAACATTAATAATAATTAAGTATGATCACATTTTTATAGGTACTATATTTACTGAAATGATTTTATCTGGCCATGTTTCATGTTAATCAAATCTAAATCATTGAATTTTAAGTCCAAACTAACCGGATGACCACTTTTTTGACCGATTTTCATTTCCAAAATTCGCAATGGGTCTATTTTGATTAGTCCCTAACTCAAAACACCTATGAAATGTTATATTTATTTAGATATTAGTATAACATAATTATATCAATGTCAGTAAGTTTTTAAAAATATAGATTTTTGTTTAGATTAATTAATGTCTGATTTTTTTACCGTTTGTTAAACGAGGAATAGCACTTTGAAAACCGTCCTTTAGACATTCGTTAAATTTTGGATCACTTTTCTTGCATTGTATAAAACCTTTGGCTAAGCCAACAATTATTATATCAATTAGTAATTACTAAAACACAGTATTTCAAATTATAAATACTATCAAATGTAATTAGGTTGAAAAGCCGACAGACTTGTTACTAACTACTTATTTTTGTTTTTAAGTATATTCTACTATTTGATAAACTTAACGTTATCTTTTTTTGAGTTATAAGTTTTCTTGTCAAGATACACCCCTATTAGTGTTTGTAGACAATAATATTATTTTTTATTATAAAGTTACACACGTAAATTCGACGAAGGTGCTCCCTTAACGGTGATAATAGTAGTAAGTACAAGACCACATAATATGAATAGTTTTGTAGACATATTAAAAAAAGTCAACACTTAGGTATATAAAATAAAAATTAGTAGAATGACATAACTAATAACTGTAGCGAATAATAAAAAATTTTAATTGAAATAATAAACTAAAATAGTCTTAGTTTAAACTTAACCAAATAAGTGAATTTCCTTAGTCAATTTGCCTTATATATAATATGATGGGGATATTTTTTTTTACATTCTTACTATTTTTTTAGGTTTGCCAAATAAGGTAGTGAGAAAAAATATAAAAACAGCTAATTAAAAATTCACACATAGGTGTAATTTATGAATTTTAATTATAAAATCTAAAATTACCATCATACAGTGATGTGTATCCGCTATTTCACAAACAGGAAATGATTAAGATGTAAATATACTGTGTTCAAACAAGCCAAACATCTAGGTACATTTAATATTGTAATTTGTATAATAAAAACAGGAATGATATAAGCAGTGATTTAATACTAATACGCATATACATTTCAAATAAATGAAAAATAAACTCCCATACTGCACGAACAATTTTTCGTTAAACCATCCAGCATAATATAGCACTGTAACTGAACGAAGAATCTGATACTGTTTTGGTTCAAATATTGAAAAATTTTAGATTCTGAGTGCTGCGTGGAATGTCTTGGTTTCAGTGCCGGTTTTAGGATGAAAAGGGGGTTAAAACCTTGAAGTAGAACCGAGCCTTGCGCTTGTGTAAAATACGTAGTTTTACAAAAACAACACACTGAGTATTAATGATAGCAGTCAATATTTTTTAAATCCATTAAATATACAGGCGTGTTTGCAAATAAGATAATTATTATTCTTTTTTTTATTCGAATTCCTAACACGGTTATAAAAAAAAAGACTTTGAATATCTTAATTAAATTATTTAATTATTATTGTTTATAAGACTAAATAAGTTTAAGAGATACATTAAAATGTGTTATTATTTATTATTTTTCATAGTTGATAGTCGATTTTCCTTTATACAGTTTTATCGTTTTTACCTAAGTATTTAAATTTTTTTAAAATGTCCAATACGATAAAATCTATTTTTGGTCTTGTGATAACTACCATTGTTATCACTAATGCGGCTTCTTCGACAAATTTGCGTGAATAACTATACAAACATAAACGAATTTCGTACTTAGTATTAATATTTGAGTACAAAACCTTTGAACCATATAGTTTAGACATATAGGTAAAAATAATTAACCGCATTAAAAATTTCGAATTATTTTTAAATATTCTCTTTTCTTTAAAAATTCAATCGTCTAGTTTATAACTAAAACGGAACAACAAAGATTCTTTAAAGATGATTTAAAATAGTACTTAAATTATTATGTAGAATACTGAAACTGAATATTAATAAAAAAAATAGTAACCATTCGGTAGGATTACAAAATTATAAATAATTATTGATATTGTTTTCTAACGTAGTCGTACTATCCAATATGCGCTGTTGTATTTAGTTAATATATAAAATTATTAAAAAAAGTATTTTTTCAACGTTTGAAATAATTTTGGGCATTTGCTCTTGTTTTTTTGTGCATTAAAATCCACCCGTAGTTACAATTAGTAATTATAATAATTATTGTTCTAGCAAAAGGTTTTATACAATGCAAGAAAAATGATCCGAAATTGAACGAATGTCTAAAGGACGGTCTTCAAAGTGCTATTCCTCATTTAGCAGAGGGTAAAATAAAAAAAAACATACTCTAAAATAAAGATTTATTTCACGAAATTACTAATATTGTAATGATTTTGTTATACTTATATCTGTATAAATATAACGTTCCGTAGGTGTTCCGAGTTTAGGACTAATCAAAGTAGACCCATTGCGTATTGAAGAGTTGAAAATTAATCAAGAAAGTGGTCATCCAGTAAATTTGGACTTAAAATTTAACGACGTAGATTTGATTAACTTGAAACATAGCCAGATAAAATCAGTTTAGTGNATTCTACTACAGTTATGATTCTGTAAACTATAATGCTAAAATCGAAGTACTATTGCCGGAATCTTTATTATTGGAGGGAAACTATGAAATAAATGGTAAAGTGCTTGTTTTACCAATAACAGGAAAGGGGAAATGTAAACTTGTTACAGGTAATTTAATTGTTCAGTCTATAAAAATGGATAAATTGAATTAAAAATAAATGAACTGCTATATAATACCTATATTTTTACGTTGTTTTAGATATTTCAAATGCTGTCATTAATGTTCAATTCAAACCAGTGGTAAAAAATGGAAACACATTCTTGGATATCAACAATTTTACATTTGAATTTACCGCTACGAAATTGCATTTGCAATTTGATAATCTGTTTAACGGAGATAAAGCTTTAGGTTTGTTTATGTGTGATATATTAAGAGCATATGAGAATAAAAATAATTATAGTGGTTAAATTAATTTTCAATAAGTAGTTGATTTTCTGCTCTAAACAATCTTATTTTGTAATTTAGAAATAGTTATTTTTCTGGTTTAAACTATTCAATTTTTAATCTAGAAATGGTTTATTTATATAATGTTTGACTGTTAAAATAATTATCTCATTGTATTATTACAGGCGACAATATGAACGTGTTCCTAAACGAAAATTGGCGTGATATCTTGAAAGAATTGCAGCCTGCCGTTGAACAGGTTTTGAGCATGGCTTTTAAAGAGATAAGTCAACATTTTTTCAACAGTATTCCGGAAAATGAAATACTTGTAGCCTAAACATATAACAATACAATGCGACCATTGCCACACGTTTGGTTGCATACTGCACTAAAATGATGTTTTTCTTATACTGTGGGTTATTAGTCACTGTTAAATATTTTTTAACTTTGTTTTACTAACAATTATTCTTTTTTTGTTTAATTTGTCTGACAATATATAGTATTAAATTTTTAAAAATCGTTAAATATTTTTGATTTGTTTATTGATACTATCCTTGATACTAGGTAGTTACAATATATATCTATATGTGGTGCATGATTACTTATAGACNGTACAATTTTGAATGAGTTATAGTAACTTAAATATTATTTGTAAATTTTACATCGTTGAAATGTATTATACCAACAGGTATAAAATATGCGTGTTTTTTTGTACATAATTTGTTTGAGTTTCTGTGCCATTGTTTGGAATTCGTCTGCGAGAAATTTTTATTTATTTATTAACAAAGAAAAATGCGTAGTTTGGACTATCTATGTTAGAGTTTAAAATTTTATTAGGTATTTTTTATTGTTACAATAGTCATACTAACTATATCTACTTATCTATTATACAAAGTGTCCTGCTCCGATATTTACATTCGCCATCATTTATGAGTGGAATCCTGGCCTCAACAGTACTTTTAACAGGACATTTTTATATTTTCTAATTTTATATTTTGTTTCTTTGAAAACCCAAGATTAATTGAAAGATAAACGAGAAATTTATGAATATAATGTTTTTTATTATTTATTGTAACCTAATTATACCTATTTGTTGACTTAAAATTTGGACCGAAAACTTATGTTTACCTTTTCTAAACGTGGTAAAATTTTCAAACTATTTACGCCATCTTTAATCTATTTTTAGACATTTCAATTTCGCGAATTTTATACGTATTGTTTTTTCCATATGTACTTTGTGATAAAACTTTATGTATAAACAGGAATGATAGAAATTGTAATAAGAAATTCATGACATTTTTTACTTGGTGATCTAAAAAAAGAATTTAAGCTTAGTTTATTTTTTCGTATACATTTTAATATCAAATTTTGTCGAAAATCGTTCGAGTAAAAAATTGTGTTGAACAAATCTAATTTTACAAAATTTTTTTTTGTATGTACGTAAGCTAATCAAAAAGTATCGATACTGGAAGTATCACTTGGAAACCGAGCATTGAAGAGCAGTAGGATTGGTATTACTTTCTAAGGTCATCGCTCGCTCGGCCTATTTAATCGCAAAATATCAGAAATCTTGCTTCCGTGTGTGTACATTACATTATACAGATTTTAGAACCACGTAGAAGTCAGAATTCGGAGGGCTGACTTAGTTTCGAAATTTTAACTTTTTCAAATTTTGATATTATGCGGATATTATATGTGTAACTCAATATTGTAGGCATTACGTTATGTATGTCTAATGGTGTTACGAATCTGTTATTGACCCTAAAATCAGAAATTCAAATCCGTGTTCCAAAAAAAATATTTGTTTATTTTTTCCTTGCTACCTAAATAGGAAAATAGCAATTACATTTTGGATACATTTATATACATTCAATCGTAAAATATAACATCGCTCGCTTAGACTGTTTTAATCGAAAATACCCCTCGATTTATTTTGCAAACTTTTCTACCAGAAATCTTGCTCTAATGTATTAAGTGTAGCACTTTTTCTAAAACGAAATTATTTTATCTACATGATACTTTAGGGGAATACATATTTTTTATTTTTCCATGAGTTTTTCCAATCATTAAAAATACTAAATATAAATATTAGTAAAAAAATATGACGGCCTTTTTTTCATCCGTGAACAATTTTTATACCAGCAATTTTACTCCAATAAACAATGATAACACTTTTTCTGAAAATGAATCTGGCCGGAGTGGTACTTCAAGGAGGTCATTTTTTGATTTTTCCTGGAGTTTTTCCAATAAATGAGAAAAACACGAGAACAAATAATGACAATATTTAACAAATATTTTCAAAGAGAATATATATATATATATATATATATATATATATATACATATATTCATATATGTTTAATGATTTTGCCATTATGTGAGATATTATAAATTATTGACAAATCAATACTATTAACTGAAATCCGCACAGAATTGTAATTCGTTAGCAGTAGTTAATCGTTGCGTACAGATATGCATTGAATTTCCTCTCAATTAACAATAGAGCTTCACCCAAGTGTGAAGTATATCTGTCTTTTTGTTCATGCATATATGGCTAAAAGACATAAAAGATAAAAAAAAAAAAAAACACATTATAGAAAATGAGGATAATTCCTCGCTGCTCTCTGAATCTAAAATAATAACGAAATAAAATTGCTGACGGCGTTTATAAATAAATAAATAAATAAATAAATACAAATATATAATATTAAATTTTATCTATTTACTAATAATACAATATTGTTTATTTTAAACACACGATGCCATGAATAGGAAATGTCCTAAACAGGCTGAACGAATTTGTTGGGAAATAAAACGAACCATAGTAATGAATATACGCTTTGCACTAGTGAAAATGCCCGATGTGCGTTGAACGGAATACTCTACCCGTACTAAATATACACGGAAAATATTTATAGAATTATAAATTAACCGTCTATTGACAGCGATTTGCACCTCATCGCCTACACTAGAACGATGTCGCTGTACAACTCTATATTCCAGAATAAAGAAACCGTGACCGTGGCCAACAGAGCGTACGAGCGTACGAACTCGTTCACATTCACGTAAATTATACACGAATACAATGTACTAACAAACTTGTGCAGAATATTACACAAAACGTAAATTATTACTAGTACATTATTGTTATACACTACACCGTACACCTGTCTACTTATAGTATACATTGATAAAAAAATATTAATTAAAATCCGTACAATTACCGGATACTCGTTACTGTCTTTGATAATTATTATTACAATATAATATTGAAGGCATACGGTTTTTTTTTTTTTTTTATATAATTTACTAAGAAAAAATAAAAAATAAACACCTTTAAAGGACAATTTTTGCTACAAGAAAATATATCATACTTGAAAATCGGAACCGAATTTCTTATTTCCGGTAGACAATTTTGTTCATAGTCTCCCCCTCATCCCCTATAAAAATGCATACATCATAGTAAAGTCGAGACAAGAATGTATTGCTGCGCTCGGAATGTAAAAATATATTGTCTGTGGGCTATTTATCGATAGGATAATTACAATTTATAATCGTTATTAGGTTAATGATGAAAACAAATTTATGGATATCGTATAATTACAGTATAATAATAATTCAGGATATTCAATTAAATTATTATGCAATTTATACAAGAAAAATATATCTAATTTTTATTTCTAATTTCTAAAGTATTTCAATTTAATACACTGAGTAATGGCTCATAAGATGTGTATGCATCTCTATGTACATAACAATTAATAGAAACAAATCTTAAATATGGGTGTTGGACAGTTTCTAGTTCTTTAAAATCATATCTGATATTGTGTCCATAAGGTGGAGTTATATGCAAGACATGACCGGACTTGTGAACAGTATAATAGTTTTAAAGCAATAATATTTGTAAAATTGTACAATTAACCTACTGTTAAATTTGTAAGCAATTCTTTTTAGTCTAACAATTTTATCTAGAGAGTACCAAAGAATAAAATTACATAAAAACTCGCAAAATTAAATATCTACAAGTTGCTCAAATATTATAAAAATTGTACCACATTTAGAAAAAAATTAATTTAAATTTTTTGTTTCAATTGTAAGTTTCTGCAGATATATTTTTAACTGAATAGCAACAAATAAACGAAATTTGAAAATAATAAAAACATTATTTTCGGAAATGTATACGTTGTTTCTACGTTTTTTGTATTGGTATAAACCAATCATTAAAAAAACTACAAATAAAATCAGAAAAACTACTACTTTCTGAAGTACTAAATATATTTTTTTTAAAAAAAAAGATCTTTTGTCGTTCTTCCATTGAAGCAAAATAATAATATAATATGCATGAATCAAATCCTGTACATTATTGTTACACGGCCGGTATATTATAATATATTATATCGCATTATTTTATATTAAATACATATACGTTATATATTATTTTTGTTTAAGCGCTCGAATATGCACTTTTTACAACATGATTATAAATCATCGAATTTTCTTTACTTTTTATGAACATTAAAATAAGCATGCATTATACATGTACACAAACTTTTCGAAAGTTCTCTTAATAATTATTAAAAACCGTATCAAAATCTGTTGCGTATTTTTAAAGAATTAAGCGCACAAATAAACAGACGCCAATAAAAACTTTGTTTTATATTATTTAGTGATATTGAAAATGTTTTAAACGTTAAAAATTAACCAATATGTTCTCAAGAGTTAAAACATGCTTATTTTTTTTATCATGGGCGTATTTACTGGGGGGAGGTCATAATGTTTAACCCCCCCCCCCATTGGCCGTTTTTTTATTTTTTTTTTATTTTTATATAATCAATTCGATATAAATTTGTATAGGATCTGAAAATTCTTTGTCGCATCATATAGTTTATACTTACAATTTAAAAATTACATTTTAAAATAAGTTGCATTAAATTTTGTATTGTTATTTCTATTCTTATTCAAATTATTATTGATAATAGTAAACTTCATTACTAGAGGTGTGTGCACTGATTGCCCCTTCCTTTTGGAAATTCCCGAGAATGCTACTGGATCTTCTTCATTCTTAAAACATAAACGGAAATATAATGTTTCTATAGCTTTTAAATAAAGAAATAACTTTTTTATCTATTTTTATTTAATTTTTAAATAATTATAAAAAGTCGTATTCAAAATTCAGAATTAAATGCTATTTTAAATTGATATTTAATTAAGATATTTTATACCAAAATGAAACACGTTATTTGTTTTTCACAAGCTCTTTACAATGGAGGGATTTTTTTTTTTCAAAAATATTAAAAACAATTTTTCTTAATAATTGTATACAATTGAATATAATATATATATATTGAAATGATCTCGATATTGGCAATATTATACTCTTAATGTGAAATTTGTAATATATGTATGCTCTTTTATCCAATTAGTTCTTTTATCAGTTATACTAGTTTTTAATAATTAATTATCAATTAAAATTAGTGAACACTTTGCGATAAACTATGCTCTTTAATTTATTCCTGAACCCCATTTAAAAATTGTTACTTATTTGAACAAAACGATATTTTTTGTTGCACTTTGTTGACAAACGCCCTTAAAAATTGACCGAACTGCACTGCCTATCCCAGGTACATTTGTTATAGTGTATAATAGTATACAATCTTATAATTCATAAAAGGTTAATTAGATTATTTTGTGTTTAATTAATTAACCGGAATGATGGAAAATCGGATATGATAAATAATTATAAAAAGCAGTGTAATTAAGCTGTTTACAACCAAAAGTTGTACAAATATTATATACAGGGTTTCCTACAGAATTATTTGAATGCAAATAACTCTGTCAATATTCAATATTTTTTTTTCAATGACTTCGTGTCAGGAGAAAACAAATGTAGAGAAACATTACATTTTTATTTTCATCATTTAAACATTAAAAAAAAAAATAAATTGTTTTATTCAATTACTTATTCAAATTTTTAAAATAGCCATTTTATAAAATATATATGTATTAATCTAAACATTTGAATCTATCATTTATTCATATCCGATCAATAGTTTTTTAGAATAGCTGTTTTAATTTATAGTGAAAACCTACTTATTGTTAACGTTTTTATCTTTTGACAATTTTATAACCTACCTTTTATTACGATATTTATTAGGAGTTTAGCAACTTAATAAACTTGATCATAGAGGAAAAAATTGTATTATCCTGGGAGATTTTAATGCCAGATTCGATGGAGTAAGAGAATCTCATATAGCTGGGAAATATGGACTCGATGAAAAGAACACAAGAGTTGACAATCATATAGAGGTTTGCACAAATAATAAATTGACAATAACAAATTAATTTGTTCAATATCACAAAAGAAGACGATATACTTGGAAAGCTCTTGGCAAGACATGATGGTGACCGGTAAGGAATCAAATTAAAGACAACAGGAGCTGCCCAAGTGCTTATATCCATAGTGACCACAATATGATATTGATGCACATTATCTTAAATTTAAGATATTTCAATAAAAAGGAAGGAACGCGCTTCAGGTATCGAATTTTAGAAATGAATCCACTAGAATAAATAAATAAGAAAAAAACCAAATGAGGTCATAAGAGAATACAACATGATATAGGATACGAATATAACCAATTGTGCTGAAAATAATTAAAAAAAAAAAAAAAACATAAAACAGTGTCTTTAAAAGATTGTGGAATAGGTTTTTAGAAGAAAAAAGACAACGGTTAGAAAATAATATGAATATGATAAACAATGTAGTTTGAATTAAAAATCAAAGAAGAAAATATAAGAATACGACTGATAAGTTAAACATTGAAAAATACAAGAAAATATTAAAGACAATTAATATCCGTATTTATGTAAGAAGTGTAAAGAAACATTTTTGGATAATATCTGCACAGAGGCTAATGAACAGTGGAAATCAGAAAAAACGGATAAAGCATATGGAACGTTAAAATCTTGTTTGGTGAAAGAAAAATCATAAATACATATGTCAAAGGGGAAAGCAATGACATTCTACATGAAGAATTAGAAGTAACAAAACGTAAGAGAGAATATTGAAAACACCTATACGTAAAGGAGAAAGTTACAGCCGCGGATATACAGGAATAGGCAGATGAAGATCAAGATCACTTAAGGATAGAAAGCGAAGGCTGTACAATAATGAAGGAAGAATTTGAAAAAGCATCAATTGAATTAATAGTTTCCAGTAGAATGTGTATCCAGAATAGTGGAGAAAAGTTCAAGAATATGCTGTGTAAACTAATATACAAAATGTATGAAACTAAAAATATACTCCAAGATTTTACAAAAATGTATAATAGTACCAAATACCGAATAAAGCAGGAGGAAGAATCTGTGAACAATATGGAACATTATGTCTGCTCATACATGTTTCAAAATTCTTACACGTATTGTGCTGAAACGTATCAATCGAAAACAGATTTGGTTTTAAAAGACAAACCGAAGTAAGAGAAGCTATACTCGCACTTAAGCAAATTATAAAAAGCAAATATCATAGCTTTTATATACTTAGAGAGGCGTAAGGTTGAGAACCCTTGCTCTAGATAATAAAACGGCTATAAATAAGAAACTATTATTTGTATATAAATGTATGATCCAATGTTTAGAATAATATATTTGATAAATTAGTTATTTTGACAATTTTAAGAATGAAAAAATAAAGTTATTTTTTTTTCGTTAATAAAGGAACGAATATAAAAAAAACTTCCTAGCATAATGAGGATGGGTTCAATCACCGTTTTAGGTAATTTTATGTATATCTAATAGTATCGATCAAACATTGCTAACGAAAAAAAGATTCTGAGCAGAGTTCAATTAATAATGGTGATTTGTTAACAATGTGTATTTCATATTATGATAAAATAATTAAATAGGCATTATAAATTATCTTTAATTATATTATTTTAATGTACCGATTTTCCCTTTGTTTATGTTTTTCCCATGTTTTTTTTCGGTTTATCATATTTAACAAAATAATATTCGAGAAAATCAAAAAATGGCCTCTCTAAAGTACCTCTTCAGTTAAATTTCCTTTTAGAAACATTTTGATCATTATAAATTGGAGCAAATTGCTGATAGAAAAGTTGTCCATAGGTCATAATATTTTTAACTAATACCTACATTTCTTAAATTTTCCTGTTTTTCCTCAGTTTTTTCGGTTTTTTATATTTGTTGAAAAACTCTTGAGAAAATTGAAAAACGACCTCGTGTACCTAACCTAATGTACCTACCCACATCGATTTCCTTTCAAAAAAAGTGCTACACGTAAAAATCGGATTATAGAAAAGTTGTACACAGAAAAAAAAAACAAAACTAAACATTTTTGTAAAACCATAAGCTTCTTCGCTCCACTCGGAATCTACAATTGAATTCTCTCTAAATATGTGTCCCCCTGACACAGAACGCGATAGAAAATAAAAAATGAATGTTGACAGAGTTAGTAGCATTCGGATAGAATTGTAGAACACGCTGTATATAAGCGAAACTAGGGAAACATTATAGAGTATCGGAATATATTATTTTAGAGATTCGAATAAATATGGATGACCGATAAGTTTACTACGATTATTTAGAATATGACATTATATTATATCATAAACTTACAAAAGAAAAAAATAATAATCAACATGATTTTAAGAATTTCAATGTAGTGATGCTCGGTATGCTTGTTTATAGTAGAGTCATTGAGAGTATGACGATGCGACGATGCATAAAGGTAACATTAAAAAACAATGTAAATATTTTAAACAATGCAATTTCCTATAAAAGTATAAAATATTATAATAATACGAAGGCCAACTATGGTCTTATGGTATTATGGTATTGAAATAAAATTATTAAAATCTATACAAATTATCACGAAATATTTTAATATTTATAATTTGTGTGTTATATTCTCAATGTGTGGTTAAATTTTGAAGTTTTAAAGAATATTTAATTTTTTATTTATGCCTATGTATACGCACATTCCGGAAATGCATATCAAAAATCTATATTTAATTATATGTATGACCTATACAAGCAATATTATTACATTATTGTAAATTATAATAAGTGTGTAAGAAAGTTGTTTTTTTTTAAACATTTTTTTAATTGAAAAATAATGCAAAAACGAGAAATTATGTGGCATTAGTGTTTAAGTTATTTGCAATTAGCAATTCGGTTGAAATTAATTTCGTATAGACCTGATTTTTGTATCAAATACTCATATTAATCTTTTCTAAACGTGGTCAAATTTTTAAAACATTCTGACGACTTTTAAGCTGTTTATAGGCATTTTCTATTTTTCAGTTTTAATTTGGATAAATATTTTAGCCGAACAGAAACTCATGAATAAGAGATCAAAGTTTATCTTAGTGGTAAATTAAAAAAAGTTCAACGTTATGCAGAACTTTTTTCTTTTATAAGCATTTTTTTGACGAATTACTTAAAAACTACGGTATTTCAAATTCGCTCTGAATCGTATAGACGTAAATTAAATAATTTTATAATATATTCTACATACCCGATTTCATATTTAAAATAGTGAGACAACCATCTTCAGTATAAGCTCTAATTTAGGTAAATTTATAAATATGTAAGCATATTAATTTTTGATTGCTCAAAATATCATTCCTGTTGTAATTATAAAAATTAAAATATTAAATTAACTTGTATGTTTAGCTTGGTTAAACACAGTATGTTAACATTTCAATCATTTCCTGTCCTCGAACCTAAAAATTCATAATTTATATCTATGCATAAGTTTGTAAATTAGTTGTTTTACCTTGCAGGGCAAACCGACATGAAAGGTAGGAATATACAAAAAAAATGTTCCCATCATATTATATATAAGGCAAATTGCCTAAGGAAATTTACTTATTTGGTTACTTTTAAGCTAAGAGTATAGTTTAGTATTTCAATTAAAATAATTTAATATTCATTATAATTTATTGTCAGGTCGTTTTATTTATTTTGTTTTTTTTTGTATCTAGTTGTTCACTTTTTTTTTAACATGTCTACACAACTATTCATATTTTGTGGTCTTTTAATAACTATCATTGTCACGATCGATGGGGCAGCTTCGTCAAATTTGCGTGAGTAACAATACAAACATAATCGAATTTTGTATAAAGTATTAACATTTGAGCGCAGAACCTCCAAACCATATAGTTTGGACAAATAGGTAAAAATAACTAATCGTTTAATCCGAAATTTATGAATATTGCCTTTTCTTAAAAATACAATCGTCTATTTTATAACCAGAATGGAACAACTAAGATTCTTTCAAAATGATTTTAAACAGTACTAAGCTAATTATGTAGAATACTGAAACTGAATGTTGATACAAAATATAGTAACCAATCTGTTGGTTTACAAAACGATAAATAAATATTGCTATTGTAAAATTATAATAAAACTCTCATACAATGACAAACAATTAAAACAAATGCACTGTTTATAATGCTTATATTCATATTGGCTGAAATTTATATTTTTCTGCTTATAGTAATAATAAGGGTGCAGAACAAAATGCAAATTTTGTTTTTTTCGGAATATTGTAACGTTCTTTCCATATTTTCCAAGCTAAAAATAAATTTCATATATCAAATAATTAAAACATGAAACTTTTCCTTTGGATTTTTTTAATTTTAAAGTAATTTTTGGGTTTTCAATGCATTTTTTTATTCTTTTTACACACTTTGTAGGTTCATCAAAGAATTTAATGAAATTCATTTTGTTTTCCTCATAGAAAAAAAAATATAACTTTTTTCTATCGATGTCTTATTGCAAATTTTGAGCTGATATTATTAATTAATGTATGTAATTATAAAAAAAAATTTTCTTTCAACATTTAAAATAATTGTTGGGCTTTTTTTCTTCTTTTCTATAGCAATAAAATCCACCCGTAGTTATAATTAGTAATTATAATAATTATTGTTCTAGCCAAAGGTTTTGTACCATGCAAGAAAAGTGATCCGAAATTGAACGAATGTATAAAGAACGGACTTCAAATTGCTATTCCTTATTTAGCAGAAGGTATAAAAAAAAAAATAACATCCTCTAAAGTAAAGATTTATTTTACGAAATTACTAATATTGCAATAATTTTGTTATACTTGTATCTGTATAAATATAACGTTCCGTAGGTGTTCCGAGTGTAGGACTAATCAAAATAGACCCATTGCGAATTTTGGAGTTGAAAATTAATCAAGAAAGTGGTCGTTCAGTTAATTTGGACTTAAAATTTAACGACATAGACTTGTTTAATTTAAAACATACCCAGATAAAATCAGTTCAGTGAGTATAGTACCTATAAACAGTGTGTTCATGCATAATAATTATTAATGTTATTCTACTACAGTTATGATTCTGTAAACTATAATGCTAAAATCGAAGTATTATTGCCAGAATCTTTATTATTGGAGGGAAACTATGAAGCAAATGGTAACGTGCTTGTTGTTCCAATAAAAGGAAAGGGAAAATGTAAACTTGCTATAGGTAATTTAATTGTTCAGTCCACAAAAATGGATAAATTGAATTATAAATAAATAAACTGCTATATCGTATCTATAATTATACGTTGTTTTTAGATATTTCAAAAGTTGACTTGAATGTACAATTTAAACCAGTTGAGAGAAACGGAAACACATTCATGGATATCAATAATTTAACAATTACATTTATCGCTACAAATTTGAATTTGCAATTTGAAAATTTGATGAACGCAGATAAAGCATTAAGTTAGTTAATTTGTGATACGTTAGGAGCAGACGATAGTTAAAACCATTATAATTATTTAATTCATTTTCAATAAGTAGTTATTTTTCTGGTTTAAACTATTGTATTCAATTTTTAATCTAGAAATGGTTTATTAATTAAATATTTGACTGTTAAAATAATTATCTCACTGTTTTATTTCAGGTAACAATATTAACGTGTTCTTAAACGAGAATTGGCGTGATATCTTGAAAGAATTACAGCCCAATATTGAACAGTTTATGGGCATGGCATTACAAGAGATAAGTCAACATTTTTTCAACAGTATTCCGGAAAATGAAATACTTCTAGCCTAAACATATAACAATACAGTGCCACCACTGCTATATGTTTGGTTGCATACAGCACTAAAATGAAGTTTACCCTTTACAGTGGGTTACCAGCAAAAATATTTTTTTAACTTTTATTTAATAACAATTATTTCTTTTTTGTTTTATTTGTCTGACAATATATAGTATTTAATTTTTGTTAATCGTTAAATAGTTTTGATTTTCCCATTGATACTCTCCTTGACACTAGGTCTTCTACGTTTTTTTCCAAGTTCTGCTCTGTTATACACATAAACTTACACGATAGATCAAAAAACTTCTTTTTACTAAGCAACTAGATTCCAAACATGTGAAAAATGAACTTTTTCGTTTTTAAAATTAAGGCGTTATTTCTGGTAGAAAACATAGCGCGTAAAAATTCAATACAATGAAATCGCTAATGCTAAAGCGCATGTAGTGGTCCGAATTTTAAAATACTTTCCAAAAATGTATTTTTAAAAATGATCTTCCTTTTCAGAAATAGTACTACACTAAAAAATCTGAGCAAGTTGTCTGGTAGAAATGTTGCGCATAGTTAAAGAATATAATAATGATCACCTTTGTATAACTATAAGCTTTTTCGGTCCATTTAGAATCGATAATTTGGTATATGTAATATTCGATAATAAATACGTAAAATAAATTACCTTATTAATCAATATTGCACATGACGGATACCCTTTACATCTTTTAAATCATCATCCAATAAAACTAGTAACTACAACAAGTTTACGAAATTTTGATAAACTGCTTATAGTCGGTATTTTTATGTATTTCATTTTTTAGTCATTTTTTACAAAACCAATGATTTTGGTTTTTTAGTATTTGACTGCAGACATAAACGGAGACCGTCAGTAAATAAACAATGTTTTTTTTTATGTTTTTTTATGAAACTTATACATAAAGTTTTTTTTTCGTTTCATTGATATTTTTTGAACTTAAAATGATATCCTGAAAAAATATCAATCTATGTTATTACAAATATACGTCTATAATATTGTTTTTCACTTTTCATACTTTAATAACGTAACGTATCATGTTTTATTTGTTAAAACTTGCGTATTAACCCGGTGTCACAGTTTTAATTACAAAAAAAAAATCAAAATCGAGTACAATGAAACCGTTATTTCCGTAAACTTTTCGTTTTTCTGTTTTTTCTCGGTATTGCCATTGTAAATGACTGCGAAAGACTATATCGATACCCAATTTGTTAAGTTTTCATTTTGTCAGTGAAGGAAATACAAATCAAAATTAGTAAGCGATGACGAATTTTAACTAAAAACCAAAATACACTAAAATTATTATTTCGGCCGTTTGAAAATATTATATGGGCGTTCTAATAATACTGCTTTACTATCTCACGTCAAGGATCCGAACAATTTCATCAATCTTTACTATGGGAAATATAATATATTTATAAATAAAATACTATAATGAAACAATATCTTCCGGGACATCCACGTGTCATTTTTTTCTTAATGGATTTCGACGTGCTCACTGGTTTGTTCTTATCGGATAACTTACTCGTAGCCTAACATTTTTTGTCAGTGTTCGATATTTAAAACAATATTAATAAATACTCGGAAAATTTAAATGCGGGGACCCCAACAGTGAACGCGAGAAATAAGAAAATTGAATATGTCACTGTGTTCCAAGTTAGAACAATGGTTTATTATTCAATTATTCCCTGAGTATACTATTGTTTAATACATATATTTAGAAAGTATTTTTTCGGAAATTATTCGGGGTTCCGAAAACGGAATAGAGCGCAATCAGCCTCAAAATCCACAACATTCAAGGTATGACGTAAAATAATACTTTCGAAAAACTTGAATAGGTCGCTTTTTCGTTATACTATGAATCTAAAACTAAAACTATGAAACATCGCGATTCGATAAAATAACTATTCTTAACGCGCAAAAATTGTAATTAAGGGGTTGTAATTATTTTGTACTCGTTGTACAATGGTGGTTTGTGTTTGAATTTATATTCTATAGTATTTTATTATTGTAATAAGTATAATGATTTTCGAATATCTACTATACCTGCAGATCGTTATTGTTTCACTAAAACCCCCATATTTTTTAAGAGTACGTGCGTGCGTGTGTGGGTGTGTGATAAGTGTTTCTATGATAAAATGCAATTTCATTTTTGGTTTAATTAAATATTTCATTGTTTCGTCTGTCAGACGCAATCGAGATACCGCATCCAAAATACGCGGTTGACGACGTTTTAGCGACAGCGATGCGTACTAAGATAATATTGTATTTTATCTATATGTGTGCATACAAAACTGCGTATAGCAGTGAGAGACGTATAATATTCTGATTGCCTCTCGTTTATTATTGAAATTATATAACTACGTTTCGGAGTGCGGTTTGATTAAAATAACTGCGGCCTCGGAATCGGAAATCATTTTTCTAATTAGTACATTCCAGACACATCCATTAGCACCTTGGCAACGCGAAGACAGTATTTTATAAAAAATTTGTTTCCAAAATAGAAAAAACTAACAATACAAACAATATTGTCGGTATGGCGATGACGATATAATGTCTAGGACAGTGGCGTTCCCAGGAATTTCCGACTGGGGGTGGGATTTGTGGGTAATTTCTAGAAAAATACGTAAGGGGCTATCAGCGTTTACCCCCCCTATTTATGACATTAATTTAATATTATTTGAGATTCTGAGTGGAGCGAGGAATGTACTGGTTTTAAAATGTTGCTTGAACACTTTTTCTCCTAGAGAGCGTAATCCGATTATCAAGTACACACCTATATATAATCATAGGCTTCTTCGCTTCGCTCAGAATCGAAAACGCATTGAACGTAATATTTGGTGTTAAAAATATCTGACAAATTATCTAATTAATCGATACTGCATAAGACGGAACACTTTTACATCTTATAAATCAAGTAATTACAACAAGTTCACAAAATTGTTGATAAATTGCTTATAGCCTGTATTATTCCGTATTTCATTTTTCAGCTACTTTTACATTTTCAATGTATCCCAGTAAGCAACTATAAACCATCACTTACGCATAAACGATTCCGAGTGGAGTTCATTGGATAGTGATGATTTTTCAACATTACATATGTCATATATGTATAGTAAAAATAATTAAATAGGTATTATATACATTTTTTGATAATTTTTGTTAAATAATTGTACCGGTTTTTTCTACGTTTTTCATATTTCCTGCGAAAACTCTTGGGAACCTAGAAAAAAAACCTCTATAAAGAACTTTTCCAATCAGATTTCCTTTTATAAAAGTGCTACTATTTCACATCGGAGTAAAATAACTGGTAGAAAAGTTGTCCACAGATAATGAAAAAAGTCTTACATCTTTATAAAATTATAAGATTTTTCGCTTCACTCAAAATCTAAAATTAAATGTTAAACACTTTTACTTAACAATAAATAACCTGGCAACAACGTTTAATTGTGATAAAATGATAACAACATTGTGGAAACGGGAAAACACGGGAGACATATTGTACATTTTTTTTAAATTTGTTTTGCCATTATATGTTTTCTGTCAATATTTCAGATCTCTACGAATATTTTTATCTGAATTATAATTTTAAAAAAAATATTTAAAAAAATTGAAAATAATAAAATCAATCGTTTGGTATACTTTCCCGTTTTTTTTTTTACTTTTTTTCCATTTTTTTTGCTGTTATACTTATAAGCTTACGTGGTAAATCAAAAAACGTCTTTTTACTCATGAACATAATTCAAAACATACGAACAAAGATCTTTTGGTATGTTTTGATAAAAGTAATATTTCTGGTTAAAACCGGGTGTGTACAAATTCAATACAATTAAATCGCTAATGCCGAAATCGATAGTGGTCTGAATTGTAAAATAGTTAGTAAAACCTATTTTTATAACGACCTTTAAATAAAACAATAGAGAAAAAGACGTCTTGGGATAATGTTGACAGTAAACGGAAAAAACGAGAGACATATTGTACATTTTTTTTTTTAAATTTGTTTTCTCGTATAAATCCATTTACGGACAAGTCCGTTCTGAAAAGCTGGAGTAAAATAAATTAATAATATAATATGATAGTGCACCTGTACAGTGTACATCTATTATCGTTAAAGAAAAAATTATAAATGTAATCGAAGATGTTTTCGCTTTTATACCTTTTCACAATAGTAGCGTAAAATACTTTAAATTACAAAATGAATGTTAAATTCGTTTAGTAAAAAAAAAAAAACCAAATAGTTATTAATAGATGTAAAATACCGGAGTAGAATATTCGATGTACTATATTTGATAAACAAAATAATAATTTTTTTGTACTACATGAAATAATTGTTCAACTGGATATAAGTATTTCTATATGTAATACAATTTTTTTTAAATAAAGTACAGATATCACTACCTTAATGACTAAAAATAAATGAGATTTATAATAAATCGACTGTCGTCAACTATTTTCAAAAAATAAAATCCATAGTTTGTAAATAATTCGCTATACAATTTTTTAAATTCATTATATTATTAGAGTAAGTATACATACACTGCATTTAATAATACCTAATATAAATATGTTATTTTCCCTCCCTCGAGTATTTATTTAGAGTGGTCTATGATTTAGGTGTATACGTATAAAATATTAGTTTGTGATTTGTTTGATATTTTATTTAAACATTTAACTGTTTTTTATTTTTTTTTATTGACGAACCATTAAACTATTTATTCACCTAACCAATACTTTGTGTACAATGTACACACATGCAAATATTTGTTATCAATAATCGGTTTCGACTTGCATTGCTTATTTATTTTACTTTTTTATTACAATGTTTTATTATTAAAGCTAATTTGTTTTTTTTTTTTTTTATAGCCTCGATTTTTAAATTTTTAAGAATTTTTGTTTAACATCACAACTATTCATTTTAATAGCCTATTGCTGGTGTTATCCGTGTTCATTGAATACTGATAATGGTCCAATAATTATTATTACCTACCTAAATATATTATTATATTACATATTAAAATCATTGTTTACAACTAATATTGTCGTTTTGAATATTTTTAACATCCAAATTGTTGATTTATTATTTATTTTTTTTTTTTTTGTTCACTAGATAATTGAATTTAACGTGTTTTCTCTACCACAATTTTTATTTCTATCGTAATATTAAC